AGTCAGGCTTGTTACACAGCGATTGCGTTTTGTCGCATTTTCCTATCGTTTCCTTTTCGAATGCTTTTAACACTACTTCGCACTAACATACATAATTTTGTCTATATATGTAATACTCGCAAATTAGAACGTCCTAGGCACGATGCTGCGTTCCTCAGAAGCTCCGAAAAATTTTGACATTAGAGGCCAACAGCACACGTGCTGTTATCCTATTAAAGTCCCAGGCTAGATGCAGATCCTTTTGCTTTGTCTTTATAGTTTACAAAAAAAAAATTAATTTTTTGTTTCATAGAATGCCAATCATAAGTGACGTCTACATTCAAAGTATAAAATAAACTAGGTGGCCAGCTATACCTAGCGCAAAAGACGTGATATTTGATATTGAGGGTATTGGAAAAAAAACATTCCTATTGATGATAAAACTCTTCTATTTAGCGTCATGGAATCCCACGAGAAGGTAATTCAAGACTAAGGTAAGAACATAGTACCAAGACTGCGGAATTAATTGAAAACGTTCGTGCTCCTTTGCATAATGCATTGAACCACAAGTGGTTCATGGTTAGCCTCGCTACCATCCCTAAATTCGTGTGCATTTCATGATGCGTACGTGTGTTCTGGTCACCTGGCGTTTGGCGACTTCTCCAGAGTGCTTCACTGCATTAGCTGAAAAACTAAAATGTTTTCTGCGACGTCAATTGAAGGCCTGTCGCACTGTGGATGTTCGTAAGTTAGAGAACGACGGTAACCAAGACATGTGGGTTAGTACGTGAATGCTCAGATGCTGTCAGTAGACTTAGGTACCGTGGATGCGTATGTCTGAAGTTAGGCACACGCTTTGAGTTTGAGCTTCATCACGTACAGAAGATTCTTCGTTTGAGAGTTCGACCTACCGGTTGATGCACCAAGTAGTGCGCATTTTCTTCAGAGTAACTTGGTATGCTTAGACACACTCCCACTTGAGGGGGGCGTTGCCAGCAGAGTCGACAAGCATGAAGGTGCGCTGAGGGAGCCTGCTGGGTAGGTGCCGGGCCTACAGTTGGCTTTACTGATGCCACGCTGCGGAGTTCTGAGTTGTTCAGGTTACGAGAGCTCTCGCGGTCGCATAGTAGCTCTTGTGCATAATATTACAGTCTGTCTTGCTGATATCTGCACAGCCAGATGCGTGCGAAATAGGCTCTTCTCACATTCGGCAGGTTGTGAGTAGTTGGAGTTGTAAAGCGTTATTAAGCACGCGCTGTAAACCACCACATGCATCAACTTTCAGTGAGCTCCATAGCACGGTCGTTAAGTGAACGACTGAGATGGATATCGAGATTCAATGCGGACTGTTAGGTTGCGAGAAACGCGTTATTTGCTGGCTCCTCCACCGCATGTGCCATGCCTATTTGTGCAACTGCTAGTGGGTGAGGATGCTGCGTTGCGCCACCATTTGCCAATATTGATGGTTTGTGAAGTATCGTGAGTGATGTGTTGATGCTGGTTGATCACAGCATCTATTGATATTGAGCGAGAACCAAACGTGCTCGCATGGGACAGTTTGTCGTTTTCTCGTGGGCTGTGGACAGAACTTAATGCCTCTCCGATTTCCTGGCTTTTGTTTGAAAAAGACAGATTTTCAGCTTTCAGTAGCAGACAGTTTTTCTAGATTTGGTGACGCGGAACTAAGTTTGTGCATGAGCTCGTAGAAGGACTCGCAGAGTCCTCATTCGGCGTTTGCTAGTAGCTAGCATTTTTTTCTCATATACGGCGACACTACCGTTTTTGTGCCCTGCGCCAATTATGATACTTGAACCGAGCGGGTTTTGCTAGTCACTCACAAGGGTAGAACTGAGCACGCACCACACTTGAACAAATGGCACCGCAAGCTATACTTTACTGCCAAGAGTTTTGCTCTATTTGGGCCTTGAAAACCTGCTAAAACTGCGACCCTCGCCTTCAGCTTTTCTTCTTGTTTTGATGAGTCCCATTAAAGTGCGAAATGAAGTTAATCAGGAAGTGAATGTATTATATTTCGTGTATTGTTGTCCCCGTTCAGTCTTTCGTCTGAATCGCCCATTATGTGTGGATCTGCCTGAGTGGAATTCAAGTGCATTTGAAGTGCTGTCTGCTGAAGTCCTTGTTTTAACAAAAGTGGATATCTTAGGCTAAAGTTGCCGCTACAGCTTTGCATGTTTCCATAAGTAGCAGTTGCAACTCCGGAAGGGGCCAAAATGATTCCAAGGGGTGCGCAGATGCCGTCTTGCTTGGCATGCATGCGCGTGACAAGGGGGATCAACGTTGGTATATATGGGAATAGTTTTTTGAAACAAAAAACAAATTCACAGCAAGTGGCGGAGTTGCTCAAGCAACATGACTTTGATTCATGACAAGCGAATGGCGCTGTAGAGCTTTAGTAGCACCGGTTGATGGGTTTTTGACAAACTGAGCGAGTGTACACCCTGCGGCCACAATATAACCAGAAGGTTTTAGGCCCCCGCGTAGTGTCTGTCAAAAATTTTCTCCTGTACACTGATGACACAAATTGTCATGGCATACAGGGAATTCACCCTTTATTCAAAACCACCTGCTGTTTGTTCTTCCGTGTCATCACGTTACTTTTGGTAGCCGTGCCACGGTTGGCAGATCAATACAGGGGAGTGGACACCCTGTTGCCACCTAACTGAGCGTACTGACAACGCCACCCACAGCACATGGAAGCCTACGCTTAGCCCTGCATAACGTGCAACTGCCCACAGCGACTTTCTTTTAGTATCTACCACAAAGCTGAGTTCCCCACAGTGTAGATCTAGGGTAGGCACGGGCCCTCCGTCAAAGAGACGAAAGGCGCGTGCTAAAAAGAGAGATGCCTTGGTGGGTTTAATTAACAAGTGCTGGATCTACGATTAGACAGGTCATAGGGACGCCAATGTCACAGTGCTCTCTTGGGTACAACTGAGTTATAAAGAAATTGCGAATCCTACAGCCAGCATCACTCAGCTCCTGAGCATTCGAGTGAAAAGTTGTGCATGCATGTACTAGCTGCTCGAAGAAGAAGTGTAGAGATTATGTTTCACTACTCGTGGATATTTCCTTGCAACAGATAACGGTTCAAACAAATGCACAATGTCACATCTGTTGTGACGATATGAATGCAGTAAAAACTATTCCAAGCTTTCATTCAACCATGATTGCGCCACAAGGCCAAGGACCTCGGCGCAACCATCGCTATTGTAGACGCAAGCTAACGGCGAGTGTAACTGGTATAAAAATGCGGCTGGAAAAGGATTGTCTGAAGCAGAATAGAATTATCACAAAATCCTTAAATGGGTGTTTAACTATAGAGGGTCTGGGACAGCGGGCCACTCAGAAGCATCTTTGAATCTACGGATTGGTTTATCAGATGACACATTTTTGGCCAGGCGATATTTTGGGAGAGTTGGCGGGTGGAATAGTTCCACCCAAAAGCAAGCATGCGGTATGGCAATCTGAAAGCATTCCTCATAATCATGTTTTGAGATACACGTTCCGAGACCTTATTGGCTTTCATCTTTAGCAGATATATTGATCAATGTTTACCGTAAATGCGAATACAGTGTTTGAAAAGATGCAGGTGGCCAGCGTTGACGCTCAGGGGCGAGGCGGAACAGGAACTCTTTAGTTCCCTCTTGATACTGCATTTCTGAGGTTGCTCCCATTCTTCGCCGTCTCCTGGTCAAATTCCCGTGAACATGAGCATAATAAGGCTCCCTTTCCAAAGTAGCTGGCAGGTGTTGCTCCCGTTCTGTGCTAGTACATCTGGCACAGTAGCGCTTTACCCTAGCACAATGTCTCAGTGTACAGAGCAACGGATTCATCGAGCCTTCACAGACGCATGCAGAAGTACCACTGTGCTTTGGCATAGACTTTTTGCATTTCATTTTCACACTCACAGCACGATTTGCAAGAACAGCATGCCTGCGGGTGTCTTGCCGTGCCTCCCGCTAAAAACGAGAACAATCAACACTATCTGCACACATGCTAGAACAACTTTTCAGCCTTTATACTGGCCAGCATCTTGAGCCGAATGACCAACGAATGAGCAATGCAATGTTATCACCGCTCACAAGCATGATCTTGACCAGTGCTCACGTGCAGTGGGTAGAGCCCACAAAAGGACCGTTTCTATCATTGAAAATGGAATTGAGAAAGAGCAACGTCAAGTACAAAATGGGTTAATTGGCTTTTCAGGCCTGATGGAACACAATAGTAACGAGTTTCATGCGGACCATTTGGTTGGCGCGTGGTCGCTCTCACTGGAACCGTGCTCCAAAGCCTGATCCACACAGAAAAATGGGGCGTAAACTTTGCAGCTTTTTTCCCGAAGGCATAAGCTGCAGCATTATATTGGTTTCTTGCTGCCAAAACTTAGGGAAACGCCATTAGCTACCGAAAATTTCGAAGTCTCTGCCCGCCTCGGGTGCAACGGTGCAACCAACAGAAGCGTGTAGTCGGCTATGCTATTCGCCGCACATCATCTTTTCCTGGTGCAGACACAACAGGACAAATACTCTCGCTTCTTATTTCGACCAATTAAGGTGTTTGGCGGGATTCATTTTTACCGCTGACGGCGAAACAGCGAGCCCCGCACTGCGCCCACCAGGTGAACATAGCATTGTTCACCTTTGCTTCAATGTGCTGGACTTCCCTGAGCAGAAATCCTTTTTACTGAAGTCCCTGTTCCTCGTTAAAAGAAATGACCACTGAACACTGGCCCAAATAGTGGCAGATAAGAAAAGCAACGGCACAGTATCAGCTTTCGGCGATTCCAGTGGCAAACGCTTCACATTTCTGTCATCCTTCATTGTTAATGAGTGGCACAGAGCCCCGACGAAGAAGTACTACTTGCTGGGAAAATGCGCTGGAGTATTTATTTACCAGCGCTGCTGCTGTGGTTACTCTTGACGAATTTGGAAGGCAAGGATCCCTCACCTACTACGAATTCAGTACCTGTAGTGCTACATAATAAAATTATGCCCGCAGAGATGCCCTCTCTTACGAACATGGCCTTGCGTGTGCGTGGATGTTGCCGCACACTATTTCTGCACGCTAAACTGAGCATCTTGACTATTATACGCCCTTCCGATTTAGCGGCATAACGTGCGTGATAACTATACGCCCTCCCGATTAAGTGGCGCAACGTGCATGAAGTCTGCTCAGTGTGTTATCAATGCACAGAACACTGCATTTCAGCAGCACCAGCAGGAGGCTTACTCGGAGAAAGAGTGCCAGGGCTACGTCAAAGGCCTGTATCGTCAACTTCATCCCCTACAGGCGAGGAAGCTGATAAATCGACGGTGGGGAAAAACCTTTCGATGAAGTGTAACTAGGAAGAGTTGTTACCATATATGGGAACAGCAATATCACCTTCTAGGAATGCGTGAAACACAGTGAAAGACACGGATTGAGTAAATTTGGCTTACACTTTGAAAGATATAATTTATTGTGTGCAAACAGCCGAAGCTTCGGTGTTATATGTGGGGCGGCTGCCATTTCTTGTGAGTTGACAGGACAAAACCCAGAAGAGCTTGAACGTCGGACTCCTGAGTGAGGACTCTTCAACGGAGGAGAAATGGGCTCAAGGAGTGATCGAGGAAGGTCGAAGCGATGCTGCTGCTCGTGATTTGAATGCCCCAAATCCTCCACAGCAAAATGATGGGGAGAATCAGCAGAGCAGGGTCAACAAGGAAGACAATAAAGCAGGTGCTGCGTGCAGCCCGGGATGCAGGAAAGATTGGTTAAAAGATGGCTGGTGCGACACTCTTTGCAACACGGAGGCTTGCAACTTCGACGAAGGGGACTGCACGGGATGGTGTTCGGGGGACTGTAAGCCCTCATGGCAAGGTGACGGGCTGTGTGATGCCGCATGCTATGTAGCTGCATGCAACTGGGACGCAGGCGACTGCGCAGCGTGGAAAGAGCAGGGAGTCCAGCCTTTGGAACGCAGAGCTTTGCAGCAGAAGCAAAAAATGCTGAAGCAGCACCGACTTCAGCTTCCAAAATGCAAATGTGAACGCAGGTTACTCGTCAACGGATCGTGTACCCCAGAATGCAATGTCCCTGAGTGCCTCTTCGATGGCGGCGAATGCCTTGATATGTGTAATGCTAACTGCTCGAAGTCCTGGCTGGGCGATGGAGACTGTGATCGCGAATGCGATAATCCCGAATGCGGTCATGACAAAGGCGACTGCGACAGCAAGACGAATGCCTCGATGCAAGCCATTCGTAAGAAAAACGGCAACAATAAAATCTGTGACTCATCGTGCCGGTTATGGATGATTGGTAATGGGGTCTGCGATAGCCAGTGCAACAACATCGCGTGCGGCTACGACTCTGGGGACTGCGACAACGTCACTGCAGTAGTCGAGGTAGATTACTCTGTAAAACCTGAGGCGGTGTACCAATTTTGTGCCAAAGAGTGGATTGGAGATGGGCACTGCGATCCTAATTGCTACAACAAACCCAGTAGGTGGGATGGGGGCGACTGTGAGGGTACAGCACTGGAGAAAGAGCAGGCTGCAAAGGGTATCGGGCCTCAATTTGACCAATGAAATGTTTAGGGAGCTTTTGGCTTGTTATCGCCATAACTCCTCATTCTGTCACTTGAAGAAGGGCTGTGCGCTTTATACGTATGGTTAACTGCACGGGCAATATACGATTACCTGCTTGTGTAGTGAAGTTGCGTCGCTGCAACATGAGAACAGCGACCTTAAGGCTGTGGGAGCTGGTAAGTAACCAGCAAATCTCTGGCAGCGTTGAAAAAATGGGCTTGCTAATTGTATTCTGATCGTTTTCTGTGAGCAAAAGGCGCCATTCTACACAAATACGGTCTTTTGGCGCTTTTGTCCACGGGAAAGTCAGCTAGCAATGCAACACGTGCATGACGTTTGGGAGTTGTGCTGGACATACTTTTGGAAAACGGACAAAATGCTGAAAAGTCCTTTTTTATATGCCTGAATGGAAGAGCTCGAGATTTTTCGTAGTTTGAACTCTCCAACAGTGTTCTCTGACAGGCGGTTAGCCCAGCATCGCACTGCCCAGGTACAGATCTTTCATAAGCGTTTCGATGGAGTTGCCTAAGTTTACTGGTTTCTTACTGTTTTAGATCTTCGAGATAGCTTTCCTCACTACCTTAGCTAGATCGGTCCCTCTGTGCATCGCGTCACGCTGGAAGATAGGACGGTGGCCAGCAGGGTGATCTGCCAAAAGAGCTAGCCCGTCAGTAAAAGTCCCACTTGACATGGTTCTGAGCCAAAATAAGTAACTTTTCAACTACTGAAAAGGGAAAATTTTGTGGATCTTCTCCGACACAGGCAAGTCTGAACTCTATCATTCTAACTGGGCGCCATATGCGGAAATGGCTTGCACGGTCTGTTCTCAATCATGTCTACGTTCCAGTAAACTTTCACTTCTATGTAGCCAGTCAGTAGTAGTATGTTTTTGATTATTTGTGGGGCTTCTGAAGCCGAACGATCGTTTTTGCTTGCTGGTGTGCCCGTTCGCCACCATTGTCTTGCACCGTTGAGCGAAAGGGATTTCAGCAAAAATATCGCGTAGACCACTGACTTTTACTTGAACTATCTAAAAACCGTGTACAATTGTATGTTTTAGTCAACGTATTCCAAAGTCATTGCGGTTCAATCGACGGCTGGAAATCGGAGCGAAGGGGACCCGGCAGGTCCGCTGTCTAAAACCATCGGCCCAGGGGCCCCAGCGCGGCTACCGCATTGCAGCTTGGCTACAAACCAGCGAGCCTTCCGTCCGCAACATTGTATCCTTTGAAAACCATGTCATATATTTGGGTCTAGAAGATTATTTGGTGGGCTACTGTGAATGTGTTTCACGCCAAAGTTGTGCGGCCACTGGACTTGGGGACTTCGCAAGCCGACAGCGTCAGAGTGATCAGGCTTTCCGTGGCTGTTTCGTCTTCTTGAAGTATACTAATATATTTTTAAGTGAACTTTGTTTTAGCAGTTTCCGTGGCTGTTCTAAGATTGCGGCCACTTGCAGAGAGTTGTTGCGAAGAGAGCCATCTTTCTCAGCGGGGAAAGTCAACGAGCTGCAAGACGACGGTGAGCTTGCTGCTTAGCTTCGCCAGACAGAAGGCCTTCTTCCATCTCGACTGATTTTTCGTCTCGATCTGAAATTTAAGCAAGTCCAAGCTTGCTGTCTAGAGTTGACACTGCAAGTTTTGTACACGGATCAAGGGTGCCCTGAAATACCAAGCAGCTTTCACGGCTGTCCGACTGGACGTCGGAATCCCAAGAGCCCGGCCAACACTTCCAATAACTCTTTCGGATGGCTTGGCAATGCGAGGGGGTTAAGAGCCTCCCAAATACAATTATACATCCCCATTCCAGTGCGGCGTTCAAGTGCCGTCCACACTGCCTGTCCAGCGCAGGGAAGTTTCCCGCGGCGCCGGCACAACGCCACCACGTGTTCCAAAGGATGGCTTCACTTTTAGGGCTATTTGGAGTTTTCGTGGCATTAGTCTCACCAGCAACGGCTCAACTTGAAAACGGTAAGCGAGTTACTAACATGCACAGCCATTTATTTGTGGCTGCGCAAGCCACCTTGCTAGCGAATACCCTAAACACCGTTAAGAAATACTGTTTCTCTCTGGCGTCGAAGCCTGTAGCTGATGCACATTGCGCTGTACTATTTATTCAGAACTTTCTATACTCAATGACGCACAAACAACATCAAATGCAGAGGTACGCGGGCGCACCGTTAATTAGACACAGAACTCACAGCTACTAAATGACAAATTAAGGTTTGTACAGGTTCTCAATATTTGCGTTGCTGCGGTGTACGTGTTCAAAGGCAACACACCGGGCTTTCGTGCCTTCGGCATTGGAACCAGTGCATATTCGTGAAGTCATGTTGGGAGAGGCTCAGCTGGCCTCAAATTCCACTATTTCAGGCATTAGTCTGTTACAAGACTCATCGCTTGCACCTCGTGGAGAGACTACTGCGGAGGTTGGCGCAGAAGGCAAAGTAGGAGGAGTTCAGCAGCCAGCCGCACCGGATGCAGCCAGCACACCTCAGCCGTCCTCTCCGCAAGCAAGCGTCAGGGAATCGCCCGAGACTTTCCCAGGAAGTGTTGCTGCAACACAGCGACAACCACCTTCGGTGTGTGTGCACACATTATCCGCGCTTCACACTGCATGTGCAGGAATTTGTGCGCTTACCAACTGTTTATACATTGATCGCATGAAAGCTAGTACTTGATTGATACTGTTTGTATCTTATTTTACAGGCATCGCAATTTTCACAGGGCACCACTGTTCTGAAGGGAGTGACAGTAGCGATTAGCTCTGTTATTATTCAAGGAGTCAAAGTTACGCAAGTTGCAGCCTTTAAAGGCGGATCTGTTGTGGCTGTTTTTAATCTCACCACCACCAGTGCAGAAAAGGCCAAGCTTCTTCAGGACATATCTGACCTAGCTAAAAATCCAGAGGCTATTTTTGATCTGACCTGGGAGGCTACTTCGCCCACAGCAGGAAGGCTGAAACTGAAATTGGAATCAAGCTACAATGCGGCGGCTAGCAAGCCTAGTGTAAGTGTACTTTTTTCCTGTTACTGTGTGCAGTTCAACTGTTGCGGCTGTGTCTTCAATGTTCCGCTGTGAGCGTTTTCTTTACTTGGAGAACTTGTAATCTGTGTTATTTCCAACCAGGTGACATTAACACTGGCCTTTAAACATGTGGTGGGCACAAGGGAAATCGTTGACACGGTGACCGCTAGCATTCCAAAGACAACGGTTCTGGAATTTAAGCAGCTTGCAGATTTTAAAGGTTGGCTGGCGGCAAATTGCCATCCACCGATCCTCAAACAGGCGGATGCCTTTCACATTTTACGACTAGCATTGACTAGCGCGGAAAAACAAAAAAATGAGGTCAGAGGAGAGGAGCAAGCTCTGAAGTGGCTTCATATGATCGCTGCAAGAAAAGACCCTGTCTTGCCCGTGTCTGGGGAACTAGAGCGCAATGTAAGCTAAATTCTACCTTTATTGTTACAAGAGAGAGGAGACTTGGCTATTAAAGATTAGCTATACGGCATGCGCTTCTATATGGCAGAACTTCACTCTGAGGTATCCTTTCTTGTGCAGGCCATCATCGAGATCCCTTTCGTTGAGGACCTCACATGGCCGTTGCTGTTGAAGCTTAGGGCTCTGGTTGACGAGTCTGCTAAGGGGCACACCCCTATCAGCTCTTTCGCAGGAAAGATTCCAGGGCTCAAAACGGAAAGGTTCACTGTGCCATCCTCATGGTTCGAATTATCACCCGAACAACAATATGAGCTCTGGCTAAAAGGAAGGCAACCAGGAACTACAGGGGTTAGCCCTGGGCAGCTCAACATCACAGGGCTGTTCGGTCCTCAATACACAGCCGGAACTCCGCAAATTTTCTTTTATGATCATACTGGCCAGCCATTTGGTTCCAACAAACAACGCGACAATGTGTCACTCTTTGGAACCCGCCTTACGCCTGTCGAAAAGGTTCCAGACTACGTTGCAGGACAATTTTCACCAGCGGTAAGTGCCTCATAAGTAAAACCGTCTTCATCTTCTCATGCGCTCGAGAGCCCTAATCGGATTTTCTCCGGTGGTCTTCATTTTTGCCTTCTTGCGCTTTTATGTCTCCTGCAGCTAAGCGCAAAAATCGTTTTCCCTGGAGGGAGCTCAGCAGTTCACGTTATAAGCCCAGTGCGGGAATGGCACAAAATCGAAAAGCGGTATCCCGATCTGCGCGCTGCTCTCGCTCCTAAGGAACCTGAGAAGAATGGCGCATTACTCAGCGTTACCATAAACGGAAAGGTCTACCCACTTGTAGCAGACTTTGTAGAAATGTATCCAACACTTCTTCATTTACTGGCACACCTTGCTACTGAAAACCCGGCATTTGTGGTCAACGACATCAGCCTAAATTTTGGAGCAAGTGTGCCGCGTTCAGTCAAATCCATATTTATTTTGGAAACTCCTGAAGGCATTCAGCCTTGGTGTATGTTTCAATACGACATTTCAATCACCAGAAGAAATACAATTGTCATCAAATCTCTTCTGAAGAAGGCTCGCCAAGCCGCGGAGTCTCCAGCCGGATGCAATATTGTCAATGCCAAGGGGTTGCGATTCGAAACGATTACTGCAGTGGCAAATGTGACGCAGATGCAGCCTGAACTCAAGACAGAGAACAGACAGGAGCTAAACTTCAAGGGTTCTTCAGCCGAATGCAAGCGCTTAGGAGCAATATTCACGGAGGCGCACAGGCGAGGCCAGGCGCTTGCCTTATACTTTAGTGCAACGGTATGTCCTTCCCCCTTCTTGCCCGGCAGTCTTCTATCTTGTTTCTTGCAATGCTCTCACCTACTTCTACTCACGTCTTTGTCCTTCGCAGCACCTGCTAAAAGGAAGCGTGGAAATTCCTAGATTCGACAAAGATGGCCGGGAAAGAAAACCTAGCTTCAAAACAGTGACGTCTAGGGTCAAAATAAACGAAAAATATCCGGATCTTCTAAAAGATTTTCAAAAACCTTTCTGGAAGTACAAAGTGCCAACCATGGAATTTCCATACGTTCAGTCTCCAGGGAAGCCGGAAGCAAGCGCTCTACCGGAAGGGTTCATTCCAGAAGCATGGTATCATCAGGCGCCTGCCAAAGTGAAACTTATCTGGCATCCTCAGGTATGGCATGTTGACACGAAACACAACAGGAATGCCCAGCTCGGATACATGCGTATCCCGTGGTTCCCCTTTCATATGAAAAAATGCATGCGCTTACCTTTTGCACAATGCAGTTCCCAATACTTGGCGGTCAAGACACTTTTACTGATGGAACTGGCGCACACGTGACAGGGGAAACAGTAAACGTGCCTCTGCGCCCAGGCACTTCGGCCCTAACGGGCCCTTTTACCGTCATACAGACTTGGCTTCGACAGCACATCCCTCATTTGCAACTTCCAGTAGATCTTGAAAGCATGCCTGCCGAAGATCGCAACTCTCTATTCACCAAGATTGTAATTGAAGTTGAAGGCGGCGAGAGGATGAGGCTGATAGATATTCTCAAGCCCCTACTACACACACCGAATTGGAAGGCATTAAAGCCTGAAGATTTACAAGTACCGTTTCACCTTTTAACCTTGCCGATCAAGAACATGTTTGTCGAGGTAGGAACCATAAAAGTACATGAAGAGTAGTCGTCTTTTCCTGAGTCTACGCGATTCTCCACGACTCCATGAAGCACAGTTTCAGGGGAAGCTGACGACTGTGTGCGTATGTGCACTGATTTATTTTACAGGGTGGATTGGACTTCGTCGTTACAACACCCAGCGGGGGACAAGAATCGCACACAGTTCCCATTCGTCCTGGTGAAACTTGGGAGACAGCTGCTGACAACTTTTTCCATCGTTATCCCCAGTTCGAAAGGAAAACAACAAAATTGTCTCTATTTGACAGTGATGGAAATCCGATCACTCTTCGTCCGGACTCCTCGGTCTACATAGGAGTCAAAGAAGCTATCCAACAGCGTCGTAAGGTGAGCTTCGGCCTCGAAGGTAGCTCGATTGGAACCAATTGGCCGGTGGTGAAACATTCCCAGAGTACAGCAATGTTCTTGCGCAAAAGGTGCCTAACTTTCGTTGCGTGTTCTCTCTCTAGGGGTTGCAAATCACTTTGGAGACGCCTTTTGGAAAGATCACAGCATGTTATCGCCTGGACGTGGAAAAAGGCAAATGCCTTGTTGTTTCAATGCACACGGTGTTCTGTGGAAAGATCAAAGGCATCTCCGACCGCGCTGAACGCTGGCAAAAACAGTGCAACGCTGCTGATGTAAGTAGAAGCCTTGCCTCTCTTTTGTATCTTGGCTGGCCCAGGTAGGATACTCACAGAGTGTTCACTTGACCGCTTTGCTGTGCGCAGATGAAAAGTACAAGCGTTGATGAGGTACAGCGTTTCATGGAACAAACTTTGAGAGGAGCTGACCTTGTTCGCCCAGTCAGGCTTCGTGACCTGCTGGCGCTCATGAGGAAACACGTTGCGTCGACAAGGCCCGATTTGCTAGCACAATTAAACTTGCCGGACCCAGCTATTTCACAGGCGGAAATCACGAAGATTAAATCTCAAATCGAAGCCATCAGAGCAAAGCCAAACAAGACGGCAGAAGATTATGATGAAATTCAGCGACAAAGGCGCCAAATAAAGATGATTCTAGCAAGAGAAACGAAGTGGGCAGTTCCGTCAGCCCTCACATTCTTTTATTTGGGAGAAAAGGGGGTGGAAAGAGATTTAAGCGTGCCTATCAAAGATCCGGAACTAAGGCTCTCTGATGAATTTTGGAAAGTTTTCCACCATGCCACTCGCCAGTCGCCGGAAGCTGCATCAATGGACTTTGCAAACGTCTACGATATTTCCTTTCGTGTGCTGGTAAGCGTTGTATGAGGTTTCCGCGGCTCGTGTAATACTCGTCGGTAGCAAACTCTTTCTTTGAATGCAAAATTTATTTTGACTACCGTCTTTTTTCAGGGAATGGAAGAAAGGAAGGAAGAAAAGAGGCGAATAAAGCACAAAGTAAAGTTGGAGAAAAAAGAAGAAAAAGCAGCTACCCAAATTAAGGTAAACAGCAGACAAAATACAAACAGATGATAAAACTAAAGCCTTTTGAAGCCGCACAAAAATCCAAATACGACCAAATTTGTTGCATGTGCAGATTAAAGTCAAGGTTGAGTTTGATGTTGATAACGAAGAATCTTCTTCGGATACTGGTGTTGAAGTCAACATTCCCGCGGATTTCAACACAGGCCTGACAATCGGAGGAAAGCGCAGTATCGTAACGCAACTATCCAAAATCTACAAAATCCCCCGAAGCTACTTTACTTTCGAAGGGTATCCACGTGTCGTAACGGACCCTACCAAAGGGGAACTGCCAATTCTAAAAGTCGCACTGCAGGCCGTTTGTTCGCGCAAAGATGGTACTATTGGCGTCCAGCCCAGTGAGCTTGCCCGCGTGCTCACTGAGCTTGGTGGATATGCCGAGACGGATTTGATCTTCTTGATCACTACTTCAGGAGAAAAGCTAAGAGTTTCTATCGAAAATGTTCGGCAAATAGCTCCTGAAAAGGCTCGTCTATTCATGTTTGCGGTAAGAAGAGAACTAAACAAAACTAACACATCGCCCAACAAGTAGCTAAAGAAAAGCGGAGACTCAACAGATGGCTACCTTTGTGTTGTTTTTCAGTGGAAACGTACGGCAGCCGATATCAAGGCTGCGGCTGAGGCAAAGGGAAGGGAGAGGGCAGAGGCTATGGAAGGAGAGGTACGTTATTTTTTTACACTGTGTCACTTAGCCTGAGGAATCGTCATTTCCGCGCATTATTCGCTTGAACTATAGCGCATTTCTTGTTGACGAATATTTCTGTTTGTGCTGTCTTGTTCCTCACAGAAAACGCTTCTCTTTTCTGTCCACGTAAGTCAAACGAACGCCAGCAGCCGAATTAAACATCTTTGCTTTCTGCACAAGAACAGGTGGCATGGCAAAGCGAAATTCGCCCGATGCTTTGTAATTGTTCTTAGGTTGGCGATCCATTGAATTGGAGAAACATATTGGGCCCTTGGTTGTCACGCACACGAGGATTCGGACCCTTAGCTAACACGAAAATTCAACTTGTTGTACGCAACGATAAGGAAAAAGATCGCGCAAACAGGAAGATCAAATGCCAAGTTAGCACATTTGGAGAACTTCTAGAGCTCATCAACCATTTGGAAGAGATGCTCAAGATCTGCCCAGGGCTACAAAGAGCAACAACAAGCAGGCAGCCGTTTTCCTTCGAGCTAGGAATAAAATCACCGCCACCTACAGTATGTTTATATCCTTGTGCATCGATTTCTTTTGAAATTTATTGCCTCTCGAAGGATGCAACAAAGAAGCAGCTGCAACTTTGGCTCAAGTTTTATCATTCGATGTGACTTTTGACTCAGGGATTTCGCCTGTGGAACCGCGCACACGGAGACCCTGAAAAAAATAGGAGATATCTAGAGCGCCTGACAGTCGCCTTTGCAAATGTGTATGATGAAACGAAAATTACTTGGAAGTTCGCCAAACACAGCGGCACAATGACGCCAGAGCAAATTCGCCATATTAGAGATCTTCTGCAGAGTGACAAACCTCGGAACGCTGCTCTCGTCAGAGAAATATTGGCAGTATTGGGGGTTCCAGCAGACGACATTGCAAGACTTACTGGAAGGTTAAGTATTCTAATCTTCCATGAAGTGAGCCCCCTTTAGTTTCACCATTCCGTCAATGAACTGCCAAATCGCGCCCGAATTCATTATCAATCTCATTTTTGTTTCGTTTTTGTCTGCAGCCAACTGATCAAGACAAGGTGTTGCTGGTAGGTTTAACAGCCAGCCTGTCTCAGACTGCCACAAATTAAGCACACTGACAGTAGACAGTTTATAAGGCTTAGTCTGTTTGTAAATATATATATATATAGAATAAACATTTTCTGTGTCTGGTGTTTGCAGCGAGAAGGAGTTATAACGGTGCGCTGCCCACAAACCCCAACCAGCTACTCTTCCTAAAAATAATTTTTTCGGCAATGCAAAGTGTTAGTTGATGTGTTTTTCGCACGGCGATTCAGGCATTGCAAGCGTTTGGTTATTTCTTTTCAGATGGATATAGCAAGGGCCAATGGCGCAAGGATTTTCCGCAATATTTCTGCCAAAGCAAACCCCAACAGACCCGTGAACATAGAATTACCAAATGGCGAATACTCCTTGTCCTACAGTTTGTACAGCTCTACAAAGCAAGTTAGCGGCAGTCCTTGCGGTATACGCACATCAGAAGACTTTAAGAACCTAACTTGGGGAACAGCGCTTCATTGGTGCAACCTCAGTTTTAATGACTTGCAAGGCTTATCTTCCCCATTTGTCTGGATCGAGGGTTCTCAAACAGCAATGTACCCGACATCTCAACCGGTACTTTAATGCTGCTTCCTGCTGTTTTTCTGAAAAGCTAAAGCTTAATATGAATGTTTAAGGCTTGTTGCCTGCAAACTAGGTGCGATTTCATCTCTAACTGGGTCTGGTGCGTGTTGTCTCATACAGGGAACGCCAGTTGTCTTCTTCCAGAATGAAATGCCCCTGGGGTTCACGTTTAGGCGCCCAGGATCACCGCTTTCTGGAATTATGCCAAATGACGTGTATTTTAATATGGTTCAACAACCTGGAGCTAATGTTCCTGGAGCCACGTATGTACAAAGGATGCCGAACCCTGGTGGATTCAGTGAGACAAGCATCAACTATTTTGGTCAAGACCCACAACGATGGGGAACAATGATGGAGCCAGGAACAGGTACAACACCTCGCGGCACAACAGCGGAATTCAATGTTTCTCCAGACCCTGACCAAGAGGAGAGCGGAAAAGCCTTTTACAATCCCTTACACCAAACTGTGGAAATTCCAGGCTTTTCTCACTTGCCAGACTTGCATGACAACTTCAATCTTGTTTTTAACCTGAGCAAGCCGCCACCGCCACAGGGCGAACTCGTATACATCCAAGCCCCCGCAGGAAATGGGAAGTACTACTATTGTCCAGGGATCACGCTTCAACAGTTCCTGAACTTAAAGAAAAAGGAAGAAGCCGCAAGGCTTTGCGGTATTCCTATTGAAGTGCTAGATGGAGACATTCTAGTCTCAGCGTTCAGTCCTGTAAGTCCCCTTCAATTGACTCGAAAAACACTCAAAAATTTTCTTGCTTGAGTACTTGCCGCAGACTGGACAGCATTATTGCTATGCATATTTTAACATGCTGCTTACCCGCTTTTTTTTGCAGGGGACAACTCCTAATTACGCCCCAGCAAGGCCTGCAGTGCCGGTAAGTTGTAAACACTAGATACTTGCAAATCAGATATAAGGATCACGCCTTTCAAATTTAGTTCTGTCAAAAGCTCTCACATAGCCATGTCTATGTTGCGTTTCCGTAGGTCATTTTGATTGATCGCATGCGAAGACCTCACTACTTCACCGCCCCTTGGGATGACAACCCCATGAAATACATAGAGCAGGTTCTACAAGGAGGCCATCCGGAAGATCAAATGGCTTTCACATTCGCCGGCACAAACCACTGCGTTCTAACTCGTCAGATGCTGCAGGGTCTTGGATCTTGGGTAGAGCTCGCTAGATTTTGCTCTGCAACCTTCAAGGGCGTTCGGCCTACAGAGATTGTCGGCGTTGTCCAGGTGGGCTTGCGTTCAAAATTTTTGACTCTTCAGTACGAAATCGCTATAACGAGATGTAATTTAATTGCAAAACTAGTCTAGGTACACTTATGCTTGTGTGTGCTGAGTTGCTTCTGCAGTCCGTCTACTTTCTTCCTCCAGTAAGCTCTTGACATTCATCCATCCCCTCAGCATTCCAATCGTGAAGCACTGTATCTTGATCAGGATTTTATGCTTACTGCGTTCATTGCATGGTTTGACTCAACCCAATGTATCTCTGATTCAGATAAGGATTGTCATGCCAGAAGCATTGAAAACATCTTTCGTCAGCTCGCACCGTGGCACCACTCCGGAAGACATTTTCACAGTGGAGCCTTTGGGATTCGTCATAAACAACCTTTTGGCAAGCCAGAAACCTGGTGTAACGTTAGAGACTTTTCTTGAGCTTAGCGATGGCTCACGATGGAACTTTACACAGATTCCAGAAGAATGGAAAAATATGCCGGCTCCGCAAATTCCAGGTCTTATGGGAATCACCATCACGGTAAGCGCATATATTCAGTGCCTTCCCAGCAGTGTTGGTCTGTTGCATTGCTGCATCAGCCGATGGATTATACGGCGTTCATGTTTGTGCTTCTGACGCTAATGTGCAGATAATCCAAAAGCCTGAAGGACATTATGGAGTAAGTAGGCCCCAATTCCGGTTCACAGCTAGCTTTCTACTCGCAAAATTGTTGCCTAAATGATCAATACTGGTCTGTCCATGCGATACTCAGGACGTTAACATGGGGACGCTTTCAGACTTGTTGGCTCAGCTCAACATGGACGGCAGCACACCATTTTCTCAATTCGTTACAAAAATTACTACAGATGCTGAGGGTCCAACAGGAATAAAAATTCCAGCCACTAACATCAGAATAGGAGGTCCACCTCCTCCTGGGGCCGCTAGACCTCGGTTGGATTTTGAGATGTTCCATCCAGAAACGCTGGGAAGTGACGGGCGCCCTACAAACTTTGGCACAACTGTTTCACTTTCTCATGGAGCTGTCCCTGACACACTGCCAATGAAAAACGTCATCGAAATGCTTCATAATCCGCACATTACCTTGGTGAGTCAGACGTAAAAATATTTGCACTCGACTCGATAATGTCAGAGTCCCAGTCTGACTTATTTCGCTTGGCTTGTGTATGCGCATGTTTTTCAGCATCAAAAGCCAAGACCGACGCATTCGGTGGGTTTCTCATCACAGCTGTTGCCAAGTGTAACACTGTAGAGTTTGCACCTGCACGACTCGTTCAATACTTCAGAAGGCATGCCATTCTTTTTGACGTCGCATCGCGCATCCATTGTTTTTGTCATCTTACTGTGCTTTCGCCGCAGATTACTGCGATGGCAGGAACAAGTGTTCCCCTCACAAAGACAGAAGAGCGTTTAGACGCTTCCTTTGGCGAAATCGTTGAATGGCTCAAAAAAGCTCTTGGGTTAAGCAATCCCGAGACAATACACATTACTGTCGTCGTTGACGGCACTGCCTATAGAGGAGTCCTTAGCGCTGCACAGCTTCTTGGACATACTCTCGGCAGCATCTTAGGACTTGCCGGTGCTGTTGATCTCGACGACTCTCATTCAGTTGTTTTCATCGTACGTTGCTTTCTGACTCCGCATTACGTGTTGAGTTCAACACTTTGTTTTTTTGCAATTTCTTTGGCACTAAAGCTACAACATTGCCTATGCGTGTACGATTCAGGGACAACCTGCCCCTGGATACACTCCTCGAAAAATTCCTGCTGACCAACGAATGGTAAGCTCTAGACTCACCGTGACAGAAAGCAGACACTCAAATGAAGGCATAAGCTTTTCTGTCCATTGCCTGCCACTCTGTGGTGCATGCTGTTACTACGACCTGCAAACAGAATTTTGTGGTAAATGGGGCGGTTTATGATGAGTCACCGGGCTCTCCGGTCGACTTCGCCAAGATCTTAAACATCCAGGTTCCCGGAAAGGGACAACCACCAACGGACTTCAAGTTCAACATAACTGGTCCAAGTGGCGAGTCCGCAACTCAGCTGGTTCCTGCAGACCTAATGCGTCTCTTACAAGAAGTAGCGGAAATGCATGGAAACCCCGGAATGAATTTGGTGCTCTCCTTTCTCAACTCGTTGAAGCAAGTCAGCAGAGTTGCCCCCGGGCAAACAATTCGCATTGATACACAGGTGCGTCAACTGGAATAACCTATATTTTATTGAACTTTTGCGTTGAAAATCGCAGTCACTAAGCTCTAAAAATCAGCGTTCATCTGTTGAGGCGCTATCCACTTGTTTTCTTTGCATCTTAAATTTTTCAGGCGTTGGAAGCCCCAGCCTTTAAAGTGAGTACCAATGAACAAAATAAAAATTCGTTCAGCCCAAACGCGTGTTCATGATAACACGACGAAACGCAAACTGAGCTTAATATGTAATGGTTGCCGCCAAAAATTGAAAGAAGATTTCTTACTTACCTTCAAAATTTGCGCATTTTCTACAGCATCCTAATGCCGCCATTGACGCGCTTTTAAACACCCCTGTTGGAAACGTTCCTGATGGATCTTACCTAGTCGTCTTTACCGGAGCAGGCCCAGCGTCGAGAAGAGTAACGGTGCCAATAACGCCTGTTGACAAGGACAAGACAGTTAGCAGGCTCTTGGAGCATCTTAATATTGCTCTCCAGTCCATCGCAGACATTAAAATTGCATCAAAAGTACGTTTTCATCGCACGGCAGCTGTTTAGAAGGCACACAGTTCATTACTGTACACGTACTCGCGTACACCCACCGGACATTTAAAGGCCTGTGTCATTGCTTTTGCTGTTTTTGCTCAGCCCGAAGGAAAAATAACAGTAAGCGCTCTTCTTTCACAAGATGTGTCGAAACCAAGTAGCTGCCCAAGTACGTAATCTAGAGGAAGACTTGGTATTTAATTCTATGCATAACATACGTCTGGGTCGCAGGTGGAAGATGGCGCTGTCGACCTTGGCATTTTGGGTCAAAGTGTAAAAGTCCCGTTGCGCTATATAAGTTCCACGGACAAAAGTAGCATCAACAGTATTTTAAGGCAAATGGGGCAGCAGCTAGGGCGAATGCTACAGCAAGCCAAAATCCCGCATCAGCAATTAACACTCCACACGACTTTTACAAAACACGATGGAAGCGCTTTCTCTGTCGAAACTCCTCTGGGGACGACGGAGAATGTGGAGCAGATGCTGTCAAACCTTACTCTATGGGCACTTGTTCCAAAGGAGGCTCAACAAGAACACATTAAGCATGTGTCAATGAGTGTCCAGGTCAGTTCGCTTCACATTCGCTTCACACCATTAGGCAAACGTCATCTTGTTAGTTTAAGACATTTTTCAGTTGAAATAATATAGGTGCATGCTAATCTGTTGCTCTTTTTTGTTAGGCCATTGGCTCACACGCTCCCATGCAGGTGGGCAGCCGACCACCTTCACAGCAATCCCCTGCAGGCATGATGCTACCAACAGAAAAGACTTGGGGCACTCTTCCTGGAAGCCCTGTGAGTTTATATTCGAGGCATGTCGTCGAGTGGTGTGCTGGCTCATCAGCAGCTGATGTGTTACTTTTTACTCGAATATATTTCTAAATGCTTTGCGTGTTCAGGCAAGCAATGTTCCTGGATTTTTCATCCAAGGACCGGGCGGGGAGCGCATAAACTTAGGCGATGTCCGCTCTCAGCCGCTGCGGGTCTTCCTTCGGAATCTAGTATCACCAATACACTCATGGTGCCGAGCATTCTGGGGAACTCAGACACCTGAAGGGTGTATCCCGAAAACAGAATTCCCTTATTATATAGTCATGAGCACAGAACTGGGGCAAATTCCAGTTCCAGAAGGCAAGAACTGCCTTGTCGTGCTTCGTTTGGACCCAAATGTAAGAATAGTCTTTCTGTCAGCAGGGGCATCTAGGCACGAGCACAAAAGTTTTTCCTACCGCTAGCGAACCACTGAACCAAGCTTGTCCTGTGCTGTGATTCTCTTTTCAGTTCCAGGCATTGATCCCAACCATCAGGCCAGGAGTAAGCTAACAACATGCGTATGCTAGCTACGGGCTGTTCCAACCCGGTGGCCGGGCTTCTGGCCAGTATTCTATTCATGTAACTGCGGTTGTTTGATTTTCTCTGCAGGAATTCGAGGTCGAATATCTTTTCCATGAGCCTCCGGTAAATCTTGGGCACAAAATTGTCTACCAACTGTGCCCAAAGTAAAGCCGACTACTAATTTACCTAATTGCTCTGCAACTTTTCGCACAATTGTCTTCTTTGTGCATGTTCCGTGGTTTTGTTTTCAGCTTCAACAGGCCTTCAAAGGAGGCAGAAAAGTTTTTCATTCTTACACTATCGAATTAGATGCAGCCAAAAGTCCTCTTCGAAGTCTGATTGAAAAAGCTATCGGCTGGAGTAAGGTTTCAAGTGCACAGTCGTGCCTTGTCACAAATCCGCGGGTACCTTTCTCATGTGACGATCCACTACCCATTGATCCTGAAACGGACACACTGGAGAAAGTGGCCAGCAACTCTCGTTTTGTTGTTGTGAGAACCAAGAGTGCAGCTGCCGAGCAAACAGCCGCCTTCATACAGAAAATTCCGTTTCTCGCCCGCATCAATCGAATCCAACATCTGGGGCGTGATTCACAATAGGTGTATACTTCTGGCGCTAATTGTGTAAATTGACTTTAGTAAGGCCCTAGCCCCTATGGGTTGGCCAAACAAAATAGGGGAATTTGAATGCGTCTGCACAATTCTAACGCTGTTTTGTGTATGCAACGTAACCAAAAATCCCCTTCTGGTGGAATTTTTTAAGTTTTGGTTTTCTTGTCCTTACTTCTTGAAAAGCTAACTTTAGTTACGAGTGAACCAGTGATAGTAGCGCGCTTGTGCGCGTCCACACCTTCCGCCTCTGGTTTATTCATTGTGCCAACAAAGCAAACAACGCATAGGTAACGCTGCTTAAAGGGACAGAAAATTCACGGCAGCTTGTCAACAATCTCTTGAGGCATCATAACAGCGTCTATTAGGTAAATGTATCCGTCATCAGCTTTCATCACGTTGTCCAGATCGATCATTGCACAGCATGGCAAGCTATCAGGGTCGTCGCAAGAGGCAGTTCTGGTGTAGTCGCTGACGCACACCTGAAGGCGCAGACCACAAAAATGGGGCAGCCTTCATTGAATGCCTTTTTGCCACCCTGCTTACTGTCAAAAATCTGCGGACTGTTATTTATGTTCACTTCCTTACATAGCCATCGGATGCGATGCTGGCGGTCTCAGACAACAGTGAAACAATGGAGCCTTCCGCTTCCCATTTGCCGCTTCGGATAGATGCTGGAGTAACCACCATATCACTTGCCGCGAAAAGGATGAGCTGTAAGAAAGCACAGACCAGCAGAGGCTTTTCCATAGTACAGCCGACAATACAACTGGCAACGCACAATCGGGTCTTTGGGAGCAGTGGATTGGAGAAGCTTGCATTAGACGAAACTCGCTACTACTGACTGGCTTACAGTCTCAACGTTCTGTTTGTTGTTAATGAGTGCTTGGCGCCACTTCGGACGATCAGCGTTGAGCTGGTCAAAAGCCTCATTTGACGGGAGCATCAATGTTAACTGTGTTCCAAAACGACTTGGGTCCACATCATCAAGAATACCTGCTTCTTCTGCGATTGCCTTGGCTTCGTACAGCCTGTCATCGGTGCGAAGGTAGTCCATGATCGTTTTTGCAAAGCAGGCCACTGGCGACGAGGCCACCAGAGCCGCAGCAACAACCAAGAAAGACTTCATTCTGAGTTGGACTGTACAGCTTGAATGCACACATTCAGGCATTAATATGAAATTTCGTTGCACTTTAGCAAACTGATGTAGTTTGCTTGCAAAAAAACGAACGGCTCAAGTGACCCCAGAGGGCGAATGGGCTGTTGGATAGGCACGGTGGAGCGTGCACCGGCGCTGCACTGACAAAGCCAATAGCGAACCCAGTTTTTAACGCATATCCATAAAGGGCATAGACTTGAAAAAGATATTTTCGTGTCTTTTGTTGAGTGTTTTAAAGCTTCAGTGCAAACCGAAGCCATCACCAGAGCCGCTGCCTTGCAACTGCTTTGGAGACCATTGATTTCACAAGCAACATGCAGCATGGCTTACAGCTCCTTCCTAGCTGAAACATGTGCCGGTCCTGCCAAAATGTAAGCCTAAAACTCGCAGATCCTAGTAACATTTGCAAAAGGCCATCCACAGGCTCTCAAGCCCACCATCATGTAGAGGGACTTGTGTGCACGCAAGAGCCGAGAGCACTCCAAAACTTGGAAATCTTGACACGGATAAGAGGTTGCCTTTTCTACACTGATCTGAAGGAGTATGCTTGCCATTTGCGTTCTCCGCTTGCAAGTATTAACTCTAAAGGATACGACTTCCAAGAACTGCCATCTGCTCTTGCTCTGGACAATTGGCACTCAATTCGTTGACTACAACATCATCTCGCCGGCAGTCTTCTCCCTAGTGAGCTACTCTTTTGAATCAAGCTCAACGCAGAATTTTTTTGTTGAGCATAGTTCACTGCCGGCTCAGTAGTAGAAGTGTATGAACTCTATGCCTGCTACGCAATGATACTTCCCAACAAGTGGCGGCCGCAAGCTGCGTTGTTTCGCGCAGCAGGAGCTAGATGGTCAAATGCCAACAGTGGAGGCGCATATCTAAGTTCTTCTGACAAACTGATGCTGGTAGGGTCGAAGTAGAGTTGCTTGCTGTGGGGAACTGGACTGTACTCGAAATCGACCATATGTCCCTCTACCCAACATGTGACTTAACGCAAAAAAATTGACGATATCTCCACTACCATGAGCGACTCTAGCTAGCAGCCTGTTTTGAGAACTAAGAAGTAAGCAGCTTCATTTGACAGTTGCCTATTCGTGTACGGCGTAGGTCGCGCGATCGGGCCTGACACGATGAACGGAGCCAAACAGTGTTCTTCGATGTGTCAGGGCTGTTTTGGGGATCCGAAAAGGCTTCCTGTGGACCATTAGGAGATCACAGTTCTCATCGCAGCCTACATTCACCTTTCCTGCAAAGAACTTGTGCTCCATTGACTGCTACGCATCCGTTCCAGCATTTGGGAAGCTGTATCTGAGGCTACGCTGTGAAAGAACGAAGTTCTGAACGTGCTCAGCGATAGTTTCTTGATGGTAGCGTTGTACGTAGCTTGTCAAATGTGCAAATTATTTGTTTTGCGCTGTCACGATAGCAAATTGTGTCAAAGTCACGAAAACCCACTCAGTGACTGTAGGCCTCGGAGAGCGTTACTAAGAGCCGACAGACAAGAACACTGAGCTCAAGATAAACGAGAGCACAGGCAAAGGCTTAGTGGCAAGATAAGCCACAACTGTTGCTGCATCATATGATAGTCGTTTGCTCTCCGATGAGCATCACCATCTTACCCACTTCATGACCGCTATGAAAAACTCGGTCTACATGTTTCACGCAAACTCACGTGTGAAACTATATGATTCCGATACATCCATGGGATGAAGAACTGTGGAATCTCCAAAACGTGACTATTCGAAGAGAGATAAAGCTGTGTTCTAAAAAGCAAGAAGTGTGGAGCAAGCAACAGAATAAAATAGCTCAACTGTGAACACTGCCAGTTGTTTTCTACTGTTAAAGAAAAATTGATGCACTGGATGTGCTTCGATTTGCGAAAATTGTGATATCCACCATAATCAGCGCCACCATAGCCTTCGAAGTACTCGAGTTAACTTTTATATCTGATCCGTTAATGTGCCAAACACCCACATCATTGGCCGGAGTTTAGAACTTCACCCACTACTTGCTCACGCCTTTGTACTTTCTCGAATCTTTTCGGCTCATCCGTGTCTTGTCTCTACACCCTTTGCCTCCCTAAATCCGCAAAAGCAAATACTGAAAACACAGCACTCTGAATCTGCAACCTGCTGTTTACGTTGGTATCATAAAACAAAACACTAAGGGATATACATCCGACTGAACAATTGCTTGCCTCCCAGTGAGCTGAAGCGCGTCCCTTCGTCAGTGCTTTTCCGCAAGAACAAGGCTTTACATTGGAAAATGCTTGCTCAACGGAACAAAAACCGCAAATCATGCGCGTTGCCCATTCGTGCTCGTGGTCTTCATTGCTGTCGTGGCAGATATCACAAGGGTATGCCTGCGCAAAAGAACACACACGCCGAAACTACGATTAGCCACAGGACAAAGAAATACCGCTTTTCCCACTTTATACTAATAAACGGCAACACATTCCTTGTCCGGCCACAGCTGTCAGGTTAACGCAAAAGGGAACAGCTTGCCTTGCCACAGCATGGGAAGCGAAGCCATCGAAATGACTTCTTGTAGTGTTTGCATGTCCCATGATCTGCAAGGGGAGTTCCGACAACGATCCGGAGGTCCTGTTTCCTCTGTCGTTGATGAAAACTGGGAGTTGGACGGCTTCTGATCCAGAAAGGACAACATGCAAGAAGGCACACCTGATGGATCATTCGCTCACCAGCAAGCTAAGATGCCAGGCAGGAATACGCGCGTTTTTACGACTGCCCTGTTGCGTGAAATCGGCATTTTGCTGCACCGCTCACTAGTCACGCAGAAAAATTGCTCAGGAGTACCCGTAGTACTAACCTACTTGGAGCCCTCTGCGCCTAAACCGCAGACAACTGCATGCCCAAGAGCAGCACCTTGAAATCCAAAGGCCATTTTCGAGTGGCAGTGCCGACAGTGATTTGTCCGTGGCGAGCCTGTGGAATATGTTCGACTTAAGAAGTTGTTGGTGGGCACCTGCTGCTTCAAAGAGCGTGGAGCTCAACAAAAATACTAAGCACGATTCTCGGTAATCCTGAATTGAAGGAAGCACTCTACGCTACATGATTAGCAATATTTGCCACTACATCGAGCTCCACGGCACCGCTTGTAGTTCTAGTTCGCCACTGACATACCACTTTGCAGCTCTCGCGCCTTCATGCTAGCGCCACAACAATCGCAGGTTAATACGAAATCACAAGGCATCAAATCCTTGAGATGACAATCAATTTCTTCCACAACGGCCACCCGCATTAAGGAGCTCCCCGTAACGCCAATCAATGGCTGTACCTTTATGCCCATACGCAGTTGGCACTTTGCACAGGTTACCGAGCAGCCTGCAATGCAAGCAGTTACACGCCTTCATACGTATCACCACGTAGCGCCCGCGTATTCTGTAAACTAGAACGAAACAGTTCGGCGGATTCAGGCTGTCTAAGACAGAAACAGGTCACAGACTTTCACTTCGTAAAAGTCCACTGCTACTGTGGGCAGCATGACTTAACTTGTGAATACATGAAGAAAAGAGAAGCGAATAGAACCGGACTGGTTTAAAGGAAACACCGCTAATTAGCTACACTTTTGCATCACTTACCCGCTGCATCCAAGGCTGCTCCATCTTTTGGCAGCGAAACACGCATATCTGCTGGAGATTTACATCGACCACACGTGACTTGCAGTCGTATGCAACTCAGATGCAGAGAAGATACCCCCTCTGACGTCGTGTCTATAAGGGAAACGTCGCTGCCACGTGCCACTGCAGGCGTTTTCCCAGGTACTCCCGCATTATTTTCTCCATCTTCGCCATCAAGCTCATCTTCTAGGCCGTCACTCGACTCTTCTGACTCTTCTTTGGTATTGGCCCCCTCTAATACCTGCGCGAATTTCAATAGGCACGGCACATCTGCGAACGTATTATTGAGCACGTGCATGCCTTGTTAAGGCAGGAGCTCCTAGTCAATCCCACTGATATAGACCATCTCACACAAAGACAAAGCACGGCTGAGACTGATAAGATCAAACATCTATGAAAACATGTACGCAAAAGTGGAGGGCTCATTACCGGCTTACCTTCTGGCGCTCATTTAGCACAGCACTCCGGCAAATTTGAAACCTCATTGCGCATTCCTTCGCCGTACGAGTTCCCACGTGGCTGCTGATGTTGCGCCACCGTAAGACTGGCTCTGCTACCCGACGATACAAAACAACGGCTTCCTCCAATCTGAGTCAAACTCCAGAGCCCTGGAAGCTAAGATACCGGGTGTGCGAAGTAGACGAAATATAAATCACGCAAGCACAAAGTATAGCACTGCTTCAGAGGCGCAAAAACACATAGGACTGGCGGGAATGAGCTGGATGCTGCACTGAAGCGGTACCCAGTACTGTACCCAGTTGCACGCTCAGGTTGTCACGACCATGTAAAAAACTACCTCCGTTCACGTCCAGCTACACGGCAGCATAGATATGCAATAAAAAGGCATTTAAGCAGGCCTAGTCACTGCACGGTGTAGTGAGGAGTAATATCAAGTCATACTTCCTTTGTTCTTCTTCCGTCCAAGGCATCTCAACCTTTTGGGAGGCGGACTCTGTGTGAGGTACTTGCAACGCAAATACGTCTCTCAAGTGCCTGTCCACCGCTTTAATCGCCGTACGCACGAGATCTGCTTTTTCCCCTCTGGCTAACTGCTGTTCAATGACTTTTGAGAAGACCATCTCGATCGCATTTCGGCGAAAATCGTTCAATTCTTCATTGCATACATATAAAGAAGCTACAGATGACGCAAATTCGCAGCTATGCGTATCGACAGGGCCACAGCTGTGCGTGGTTGCAGGCGGCGGGTGTGAATCTCCTCCAACATAGTTCGCAGAGTCCGATGACGCAGTCGCCACCCTTGCCGCCACAACTGTTGCATTGTCCCGGCCATTTACCCCTCCATTCACTTTTTCCCCTCTAGAAGGGATATCCCCGTCTTGTTGACTGGTGGTAATTGCTTCAGACCCCGGATAATTCTTCTCGACTGTAACTTGCAGACGCAATCCACAGGGCAGCAGGGACTTGTCGAACTCGGGGTCTGTTGGATTTAAAATGACCTCAAACACGCACAAGGGCGTGCTGCTTCCCCGCTGATGGCCGCCAGCAGGAAGCTTTTCGCAACTAGAATCGTCGGTGTACGGCACGTCATTGCTGGGCTTGGGAACCACTGGTGCTCCGACGGAAAAGTCATCTGCATTATCGGCGTTTTTTCTTTGATCTGATGCGTCGCCAATTGCTGGTGGAACTTTTGAATCCCTTGTGGCTAAAGAGGAATTTCGCGCAGGGGTTATTTTCCACTCCCGATCGGCTGAAGGCTGGTTCTCCAGAAGAGTCATCAGCCGTGGGTGACAAAACAACAACGCGAATGAGTCGAAAAACTGACGGCGAACTCGCTGTAGCTCCATTGCAACTGAAGACGCTACACCAGCCGGCTGCGGGCGCACACATGCGCGGCGGCAAGTTACCGGCTGCTGCTGTTGCTGCAGCTGTACTCCAGGCAGCTGACTTTGCTGGCTGTTGGACCTCTGTTCATTGTGGATTTCATCACACTGCTGTCGCTGCACGTGCCGCCCTTGTGGGTACCTTCGTTGCGTACCTCTTGTGTAAGTGCGTTGCCGTTGCTGTTGCTGTGGCCTTGTAGGCTGTTCCGGCACGTGCTCTTTATGAGTCTGCAACTGTTTCTGACTCACCGACTGCTCCAGCTCCTGCTGAGAATGTTGTGGTTGCTGTTGTTGTGCATTCTCTTCCTTGTCTCCGCGTACCACTGGCCGCCACTGGTAGTTGTGTTGAGGTTGAAGCCCTCTGCCACGAGTCCACCGTTTTTGCTCCCTTCGAGGAGGCTGCAATTCGTCTCGTTGTTCTGCCTGCTGTGTCTGCTGCTGTCTTGTCCCAGGCCCTTCTCTGCACTCTTGGGTTCTTCCTTGTTCTGGAGGATCTAGCGCACCCTGAAGGCCTTCTGGCTGCTCCCTCTGTTGTTCTTGACTAAATTCACTGACAGCGTTGTTTCCCCCCATCTGTCCCCTATGCTTGTGATTGTAGTTATTCCTACTGCCACGTCCATGGGGGGCACCACCACTTTTGATACGTGCTGGTGCCCTCTGACTTTGGAGGTCCTTCCGCTTACGTAGGTCCAGCTGATCGCCACCCCTTTCGTGGTGCCTTGGCTGCGTCCCCGACAAATGCCCCTCATGTTTTGAAGTGTGCGCTGATCGATCCGCCGGTTGCGCCTCTTCTTTTGGATGAGGCTCAGGAGGCCTCTGTGTTGGCAACGGGTCGCCACCCTGCTGGCTCGTGCGAAACAAATCCATTGGGAACACTGAAGGGGGGTCCTAATGCAGCAGCGTGGTAGTGAGGCGAGAAAGAAACGCTGGATCCCGGTGTTCTGCGCTTTTGATGTAACTGTGGTATTGTAGCCGTATACTGTCGCAGCCCCTGCATAAACGCCAATGCCCAGACTGCATCAGGAAGCTCAATTGATGCTTAATATCTCGACACAGCGGCGGCTAATTACGCATACGGTGACTGTTGCGCTTGCTACATTACCTGTCAAAGGGCGCTGCCGTAAGTGCGCTCATTAACGCTTAGCTCTCGATTGTGCCCACACGGCCATACCACACACACTTGGTCGCTCACTGTCAAAGCCCTTCCTCTGCGTGTTCCACGCCGAGTTTATTCATTGCATCTTCGGGACTTGGTAAAAAAATGGGTCCATTTTTTCACCAAGTTCACGTTTACTACTGATAGCGTCGGACGGAGGAAATCCCGTTTGCAGTCAAGTGTCCACTCTCCCGGTCCCCCCGCTCGCAAACCACTGTGTCCTTCATCAGATAAGCGACTCTTTCTTCATCAGAAACGGCAATTTTTTTAGTTTTCAGGGGATCGCCTCGTCTGCTCTGTGGTGAACCGGCAGTACTCTATCGTATTCCGAGGACATCTTATGTATGGCTTCCCCTCCGTGTGGGCGAGAGAAAGTGGGCAGAAAACTAACCCTAAGAATCGCAGTACAGAGCCTAACTGTCGTTCTTTTCAATATATACCAGCTATATCGTGTCTCGGCTCTCCGAGTTCGCGGAGAACATATCAAAATGGGCTCAATGTATCTCGCCGCGAGAACCTACGGTTCACTTGGCACGTACTGAGAAAATGGCAATCATTGTGGCATTCCTTCTCTAATCTGGCAGCTTGTCTCTCCGCTTCACCCCATAAATGCAATATTTGTGTATTTATGCGTTATCCGCACAAGACATCCCGTGCACTCCTTTGCTTTAGGGTGCGTTGTTGATACGACACTCGAGCTTGAACTACCCTCTGCGTGGTGTTGTAGGCACTGAATAACAGAAGACGCGTCTGTTCGATGCGAAGCAGCTCATGTCAGTAGCCGTAAAAAGGTCGACTAAGCCGCCCGTGCGGCGAGTCGCCGGGTCCGTCACACCATTGGTTACGGCGTTCATCAACAAACAAATTATAACGAATTAGAGCTCCCAGCTCCGTAGCCTCAGAACTACATTAGGGGGATTCGTCTCGTGCTCTTTCCGCGTAACGGAGATGACGAACTGCTCCTGCCTCACTACTCCATACCGCGGGGACAACACTCTTACCGCTGACTTTTCTACAGCAATACCCCCACGGAGCGGCTGTATTGCTGTAGCTGCTGTATCTCACATATCACAAGCTGTACATGCGTGGGAATCCTGAGTACTTGATGGGAACACGAAGGCTAGGCTTTCCAAGTGCCCTACTCAGGAAGCGGTGCGGGCATTTCTTGCGAGCGGGACGCACTGATGCCGTGCAGTGCGGCTGATGTTGCCGTATCGAGTAGAGACTGTCCAGCAACGCTTTTGGAGGGCTCAAATACTACGGTGGTCACCGCGCCGCTCACTGTGTCGCGGACGATGTTTCTGCTGCTCAGCTTAAAGCCTTCATCTCCAATTGAAAGGCAGTTCAAGCTTGCTTTCTGCCCCAGGAGCCTGGACCGACTGCTGTTTCTTGAGTCTACTAACTTCATGGCAGGTTTGTCTGAAGGAGTTGTATTTTTGCTTTTCGCTGGCAGCCCTGACATATCACCTGGATTCGAGGAAGGTGTGGGAGGCAAAACACGCGAAATGGGGGTAGCCTGCTGAGATGCTGTCACGGACAAGGAGCTGCTTCTTTGCTGGGTCTCTGGTCGGTCTTGAACAGCGGGTCCATCAGGTAGGACAGAAGGCGCTGGCGTAGTGGGCATTGGAACCGAAGCCACAGCACCCACAATATGCCCGGCATCTTTACTTGATATTCCTCTAGGTTTGTTGTCAGAAGTTGTAGGGTTGTAGCCGCCCAAAATTGGAAGAGGCTTTGGCAGGCAGCTCACTTCGTTGGCAGCTGCTGCACTAAGTACCCCGTTGTTGGACATTGCAGTGGATGACGTTGGCTGCCGTGGGTTTGAACTCGAGGCCCCGCGGTGAGCGTGCGCACGTCCTGGCAAGCTTGACTCTGAGCATGACTCGCGGTGGCCCCCTACGGGCCGCGAATAGACTGCTGGGAGACTAAGTATGCTTAAGGGCAAATGCCGTTCCATACGTTCCTCAGGAGACCTCTCGGGCAGCCGATGCGTACTCTGTGAGGGCTGGGAATCCCCACCTAAAAAGCGAACAAGTTAGCACAAAGCTCAGCTTGTCAAAACAAGTGGCGTGCTATGCAAGCAACAGGTTACCGAAGCGCTTTGTTGCAGCGTACGTGAATATGCTGAACAAGAACAAAAAGCGTGGAAGCGTGAAACACCGTACCCTCATCTTGGTGGAAAGCCTTTACGCTCTCTGATTCCCTGTTCCTCTGTTGAAAGGGGTCGTCAAGGATTATGCCCTCCATTTTTCTAAGATCTGGGAGGTAGAGATTTGGATCTGCTGCTTCAGGTGTGTCTCCATAGTCTGCCTCGATCTTCGCAATGGCGTATCGGAGAATGAGGTACTTCCCTTGCGCTGGTGTCAATCCCTCAGAAATCTTGGGTCTCTCGTGTGCTTTGTAGTTGTCAAATCTGAAATACTTAAAAAATTGCTTCTCAACGTACTCCGGCCCCTCCCCACTTAGTATGAGGTCAATGGCGAATTTGACAAGCAACAACGCTTCAGCAACTGAAGCTCCTGAGCGCACCCACGGAGCAAAGCGCACAAATCTCAGAAACTAATACTTTGAGAGTTCGAAAAGTCCTCTGTGTACGTCAGGGTGTTGAAACTTGTAGGAATTTGTCTTGGCGTCGTTGCTTTGGTATACTTCTAGTATCCCATTGTTCTGAGCCTCACGGCAAAGCAAGTAACAGCTTACGGTAGATATCTTCTTTCCACTGAGAATGATCCTTATCCTCCAGCGTGCGTGTCTCACTCAAGATAAGAGGACGGACGTGCAAGCTTCCCTCGGACTCTCTAAATGGCATGCTGCAACAAGCGTACCTGGTGAAGTGGCCGGAAGTGGAGCCTCCTCCTTCGGTTCTCGGTCCAACAAGCTGCGTTCTGGGAATCCCACTGGCTGATTGTGGCTCTCTTGTATTAGTCTTTGGTAGTGAGTTGAGGCTTAGTTCTAGCTTAGCCCCCTCACTGTGACCTAATGGACTCTGGGGCCTCTCTTTACTGCCTTCCCTCGTCAAAGAGATCTGGGGCAGCTGTGCAGATGGAGCTCGTAAAAGCGGGCCTGCAGGTGACTCCGAACTCGATACTTGAATGTTTACTCGAGATCCTGTCCTTGAAACTCCTTCAGTACATTCGTTCGCAGTTTTTCGAGTGGTCACAGGCAAAGGCACTGTAGTGTTTAATGCACTCCCACTTTTGGTGTAGCTTTTCTGGACCTCGGTTAGAGACTGCCTAGATGGGCTTTGTGCAACGGGTGATGCTTCGTCCGTACAAGGCACAGGAACACGCAACGCATCTTGCACCAAAGTAGCTTTACGTGGTGGGGGGCCGGCAACGCGGCTCTTCTGTATCCTGACGTTTTGAGGCGCCTGCATTGTGGAGTCACCGCCAGACTCAGCTTCTCCCTCAAGCTTATGATAAATTGTTTCAGCAGAGCCCGGGTACATTTGACGCTGACTCATAGGCCGCGAACGATACACGTACAAAGGGTATGTGTGCGTCTGCACCCCTGATAACGAATTTGTAGTAGCTTCTAGGGGATATGGGAACTCCTACGCAAAAAGCAAAGCGGCAGCATACAAAACTCATAAAATCCGTGTATAACTGTACCCTCTAATTTTTTCTGCTTACCACTTCGTTGTACATAGCACCTTCATCTAAAGCATCTCTCTCCTCCAGGATTTTCCGCTTGTGCAGTAGTCTGACTGCGTTTAAAATGCGCTGCACGAGGACGTTCAGCTTATAATTCGAGCTCTGTAATGTGTTCAGGGCTCTGCAGACTGTTTCTGCGCAATCTAAGCTGCCAGCAGTCAAGCGCTGCTTCGTCCCTAGCGCCTCTTCAAAATGGCGTAGCAAGGCATGTGCTATGTCAATATAACCCCTCACGATTGTCCCGTCAACGAGCTGGCTTGTATCTGCGCAACATTCCACCGAAACTGAGGTGCCGCATGCATTTTCTCCCCTCACCCGTACGTCGGCGATCCTGACTGGGGACGCTGTTGCCGTTGTAAAGCAACATTTTCGAAGCATGCACTCAGGCAAAACCAGCCCTAAAATACTGGTACCCGGTGGCCCGAACGGTGTTCAAGAAGCACGTATCATTTTCAAATGAAGGGCCAGGACTCAATGTGGATAGGTGCTGCTTTGTTCACTACATTATGCTCTTTCCCTACGTGTTGGCAGAGCTCCAGAGGAGCAAGCGTCTCGGTCTGGAAAGTGGTCCCAGTTCACCTCTACCCTAGGAGACACCTGGACCTCAGGAAGTGCACAGGTGGTGGCGCAATCTTGATCACCCTTTTCAGTCTGCAGAAAAAGGTTCTTCGGGGTATCCCCTTCACGCTCGAGGCCGGAAGCTGTTCTGCAATATTCCTGAAGATCGCAGCCACCAGCAGTTCCACAGCTTATAGCTTATCAAAATACTTCAAATAATGCAAGCCTTCGCTAAAAGGTGAAGGGGGAAAGCCCACCATAGTCCATGCAAAAAAGAAAACGCCAGGGCGCCTTCAAAACGACTGAGCATAGGTATGCTTGAGGGAAATGTAGTATGAGCTGCATTTCAGGCGTACCATAGTGGGCGGTGGGGCTTCGAAGCTCTCGAGTTGCTGAATATCTTGAAACAAATCACCTTCGTGCTGAAACTCAGTCTCGCCGGTTGACAGGGCGGCCTTTGTGTTTTTGCGTGGAGCTGTACATTTTCTGGGGACTGACTTCGAGCGGCATCTTATTGGTCCAGCATGGCAAACGCTACCACGCAGGTAAGGCGCGAGGTTACGGCGGCGCTCAACATCATCATAGTACTCAAAATCTGCACGCAAGGGAAATAAGGCACAATCACGGATAAGATTTTCCGCGCACCCTGTTTAAATCATTTGACGTTACGGTGGGACACAACAAATTTCCTGCCATTCAAACATTCTCTCGCTTGTGCAAATCCGCCAGGCTATTGCAATAGCAAAGGCACCAGCAGCTCTAAACAATCCTAAATGTACAACTCGTGAGCAAGCGACTCAGGACAGCACGAAGTGCGAAACTGCTTCTTGACAAATACTTCATTGAGAACCGGCATGCACCAGCCATCACTAAGGCGAACTAAATGTAGAACCTTGCAAAAGCACTGCAGTAGCTCAACATACGAATAAATAGACAGCTGAGCACGTACAAGTTCGGTCTTCAGATGCGGGTCCTTCGAAGGCTGGGGGAGCTGAAAACAGAAAGGCACATGGCACCGCCAGCCCTGCAAATCACAGTGCTCCCTATCACAAGCAGCGCAATTCAGCAGCTGTGGGCTGTTTCCCTTGAGAAGCAGGAACTCACGCTTGCAGCGGATAACTGTGGTCCCCCTTTGGAAGCCAACGCCAAAGGCATTTCTAACGCCTTCAGATATACCCGTGCTACAGCTTCTCATCATGTTTGAAGGTAGATGCGTTTGTTCTTTAGAGAGGAGTTTCAACACTCGCAGTTTGTCAAAGAGCGGGACCAAATGAGCCCTTCTGCAATGAAGAGAATAGCCGCAGCCTCCCTCTTCCGGCCCCCTCGGTGACTTTGGACACAGAATGTCACCAGTCAAATTAAAACCTAAAACTAGGGTGCACTATTTCTTTTGCAGTAGCCGGCGTCGATCTGCTTGTTTGCATGAGAGCCCACCTGTGCAAAATGAGGCCTGCCTAGATGAACAAAAGAGAAAAGAGTGCCGCATTCCAGCAGATAAAAGAGAAATTGTCAAGTGCAACGGAAATGCAAGCCACACTTTCTGGAAAGTGAGATGGCCTCCAGCTGTATACGAAGGCATGGACACCGCTGGAAGGAAAAGCAACTTCTTAGGTGCATGAGCACAGAAACAAACCTCCCAGACGCAGTTGCAGCAATTGCAATTTAAAGCATGTTACATTTTTGGCACCTTTTAGTGAAGGACTAGCTGCATCTCTAAGCTTTGGGGATGAAGGAACACTGGTCTGGTTTCGTGATAGGGCCCCCAAGCACAGCAAGGCACGGTTGGACCAGTATAGTCAACAAATAGCTCATTTAAATATAAGAAAATAAGCAGATATATTTCGCTGGCTTTTCCAAGATGGATGATCCGTGGATTCGTGGATTTTCCAATTCTCATGGCATTGCCTTCTTCTGACCGCGTCTGACCGCGCTGGTCGATGAGCGACTGGCCCGCCACACGTCTGCAGTACTTCCCGCGCGAAATTTATTTCATGTTCAGCATTTTTTACTTCAACATTCTATCTGTGAGGGTCAGACTAATCTAATTATGTTGTGTTTCTGCCGAATGTGCATCGTCTTGCACAGCTGCCCGCTGCACAGAGGGCGGTGCGACCACCAATAATTTGAAGATGTCACGCATGGCCTTCCGTGTCACCAGATCTCCTCCCGTAAAATAAGCAGAAGCGGGGTCCATATCGCGTTAACCAGCACCCCTTACATAGACCCTTAGGATCTTCTGCAAAGTTCGTCAGCCGCCTCGCAAACTTTTGCTATCAAAATTAGCTAGCGAGCAAGTATTCAGGAGTTCAAAGAGTGGTGTAACAATTTTCCCCTATTTCTAGCCCTCCATCCTACTCAGCAGCAGGGCTTTTGTTGCCGGCACTGCGCGACCCCTCAACAGTACTGTTTCTTCAGCCCTTTGCAGCGAGAAAAACAAAAGCATGTAGCGTGCATCTGGCAGACGCTCGGCACGCAGAAAAGTATTTGGAAAATAGCATTCGTTAAAATGTTAATATATAAAGATATCTTGATTGAATACTCCCACTAAGCATTAGGTGGAAAATTGTAAAGTTCTTACTGATTGGATATACTTCATCTAGTACGTTTCTTCGCGTTACATCGATTTAAAACTTCATGGCGCCTGCGAGTCCCTATCAACTCCTTCAACTGTCACTCTTGCGGGACTATCTCAACGGTTATATATTCATTTATACTGTTACCTTCATTTCAGTTGGTTAGAGCTCTAGCGGTTGTGGGCCTTGGCAACTTCGTGCTGAGGCACACGTTGGTGGATGTATCAGAGCGCAGTTAATTGATCAGGCATTACAGAGGGCATGTGCCTCTATAAGGATTACAAGCTCCCACAACCGTCGGTGAGGCCTGGTGTGCTCTGCTGTTAGGCCCTCGCTTTGGGGCAGGCAAGAGCCACTGGAGCTGCTGTGTTCCGCATGCCCACGCAGCGACGCAGAAATATGGGGGGTCGCCTAGGAGCCCTCTACGCGCTTTTACGCGGCATTTCCTGTTGTCCCCCAGGTTGCCCACCACTGGGCACCTTTGGAGTCAAGATCGTCCTGTTCTCTGGGGCAGAGCAGAATCGAACTTTTGACAGCCAAGAAGACTCTCCTGATGCCGAAAAAGTCAGAGGTGTTTCTGGAAACCGAAGCTTACGATGATGTTTGGGTCTCTTTCGCTGTTTGACTGTACCCCTAATTAGCAATGGTTGGCAGGAGCCACGTACTCAGAGCAACACATAGGAGCCTCGCTAAGCCTACCTACGGGAAGCAATATTCGCTTTATTTTCAAGGCTCTGCTCTGCATCGCTTCGCCTCAGTCGCACTCGCGTGCTACATTCAGAGCTCATGCGAAGTCAATTTGCGCTTAAAAGCACAGTCAAAGCCGACCTCTACGGACCTCTACGGTATCTTGACTGCTCGTGAACCACATTTTCTGCAGATGGGCAGCTCCATTTGCGATTATTCGTAGAAAGGCTATCTCACTGCCCCGCTTGAGTTGCCGGTTCTGGTTCCGTTCAACTTATTAGGAAGTGGCTCCAAAATTTAAACAAGATCATTTTGAATGAAACTACCATGGGGTGTACATGCAAAATCTCATAGGAAATCAAGTGCACGTACTTTGCAAATATACAATTTTTAATTGTATTTGGAAGAGAAAGTTCAATTACAGCTAATGTTTTGAAGTGTGGTTTGTATTCATGTTCTTTCTTGCATCTACAATATCCTGGGGAAAAAATACTCGTATAATAGCTACGCAGTTGGATTTGGAACGCCGGGAAATCGTGGGTGTACATTCCCTACGAGTGGATTTTGTTTGCAGCTCCTGATCCAGAGACGTGCAAAAAGTCGCAACTCCGTAACGGGTTGCTGTCAGTTTCAAATCCAGCACAGTGCTCTACGGCGTGCAAACCTACTTGCAAACCTACTGCACTCTTGTACACGACAGGCTTGCGCAGCGACGATTTTGAATTCAGTTCAACCGCTCTCTTCATAACTTCTTTGAGTTTCTGTTGCCTGTATGAAATAACTTCTCTTTCTGTACCCAACTCAATCTCCCTTCCTTCCCAACTTCCCGCAGAACACAAACCTCCCTCCACACTAATGGAATCTCAAGAACATTTCCCATTTTTGTGTCTCTTCAGCCACATTTCAAACTCTTTACTCAATCTTGGATAGACTTCCTCCTTCATATTCTCCCATTTTTAAGAATTGAATGCTGCAGCTACATGCCCGTTCCCGCAAGTTGAGGATGCCTTGGAAGTCTTCATGTTCCATAATACACCGAACCCCATGCAGCCCATAACAAAAGGATATGCAGCTATTCTGAGCCCTCTTGTGGAAGTCCCACTTTTCTTGAGAACACCTATGGACTTCCGCAACACCCGACTCGGCGCTCCGTGTCTCCAAAACCAACCGGGGGCAGGCTTTGAATGCCTTAGTTGTGCCTTAACTAGTGTGTTTCTAGAATAAAGCAAATATGTCATGGTACTTTTTCTATGTTCCGTAGCGTTCAGCATGACGAGCAGAAGTGAACGGGCATGCGCATGCAGCCGCGGATGCGAGCAGTAGGCCGCCCGTGGGGGAAAATTGTTATAAAATGCAGTCTTCTGTAAGAATTCCATTACATCCTGTATTTAAGACGCTACCACACATACAGACTGCACAGCGTCGAAAAGGCCCGAACCTACAGCTACATTTCTCCCGATTGGGTGTCTGTGTCGTTGCTACCTTCACAAGTCTTCTTCACTATCCTGCACTTTCTTTTACCTCCAAAAGCTATTTTGAAGAGCGTAGTCTGCGCAGTCTTGACAGTCTCGCCCTCAAGTGCACTCACTACATGACCAAGGGTCTGCCAACACCGTTGGGCGAGCTTCAGTGGAACCAGCGCAGACTTCAACAATGCATTCCAGACCGTGAATTATTATGACACTGCGTGCGCAAAGGGGCGTTTACTTGCCTAACGGACTGAGCCTAAGGAGCAGGGCTGGGGGACAAACACGGCACAGCGACCACTCGTGGAATGCAGGGTCCCTGGCTTAGCCGTCTGTGTCCGGAAGAGAATGACCGTAAACTGGCCACTGGCTGTGTCACTCCTGGGTCTGCTTGTGACCTCATGGTACTACGTAAACATGCTGACTTTAACTCAGCAGTTGCAACAAGCGAACACCCTGAATGCAATGCACGCAGAGTACTCCTCCTCAAAAACGCTGGAGGCGCTGGAGATCCTTGAAGAATTCATTGACGAGAGGGGCGTCGTGAATTATGCCTTCGATTTTTTGGAACTGAGGAAGAAGCGGGATGCAAAAGGGCGGGCCATTGACCGTGCAAGGCGTCATCTGACCCAGTGGTTTTCACGCGTTCAGTACTTCTACGAGTTTGGCTACCTCAAGCATGAATATATCCTTCGATTCCCCGGACCCGAGAGAAGCCGACACTTTCTGCACTTGATAGAGCCCCTGGAGTTCATTAGCAGGAGAGCCACTGGCAGGAAACACTCAGGCGTATTTGACTTCTTGCGAGAAGTCTACCAAATGCCCCACGTGCGCCTTTCTGACGAGTTCAGACAAACGGTGGAACGTATGCTCCCTCTTCAAGGAGAAGAGGACAACGGTGAAGCTATTTTGGACGATGTGGGTGACGACCCCTTAACGGATGGAGACGACAAAAAGAGGGAAGAGATGTGACTGGCAGCATGAATGTCCTGCTACCGACAGACCGCGGGCAAGTGGCTCCACTAGGCACCGCAATTCGTACAAACCGTCCTAACAACATCTTCCCACAACTTGTGCCCCCAGTAATGGGTGCGGGTGGCTTGCTTCCCGCGTGCGACCGGTACAGTCGTCAATACGCGCAAAGGCACTTCGATATTGGCATAGAACATTCACGGAAAAAAACTGACGGTTGTAGTTAAACTGTTAATTTAGGCGCATGCTTGACATGCCTGGCAGAATGTTCCGCCAGACTCTCTTAAAGGCTGTGGCCGCCGCTGCTTTTCAGCTTCTGACTATCTGTACCTTGGTGCGTGTAGTCCCCCAAATTCGCCTGTATCCCCGAAGAAAGATGTTGGTATTGTCTCAGCGGACACAGAAGTCCTAGTGTGGCTGCTTCGGCTACTGGCGCGGTACAGCACCTGACGATTTAGACGCACTGCTGTTCAGGTTGTTCATGTTGATACAGCCTCTAGATCGTGCACAATCACGGTATTCAGGAATCCACCTGCCGACTCACGTGATACTGCACTCGGTGAGCGACGCTCCCGACGGAGCGCATAAGAATGCACGCCGTTCCCTCTCGGCAAAGACTTGAACCTGCCCTTCGAAGCAAGCTATGGTATCCTCTGCTAATGCAAGCAAAAGTTAGTTGCTCAAGAGAACCTTCACAAACTCCGCGTACTTAATCCGACCCGACTTACTGGGGTCGGCGTCTTGCACCATCTTCTCCACCTCTTCGTCCGTCAGTATATCCCCAAGGGTCTTCATAACCTACAGGAGCATCAACGCACCAATCTCTGCTGAGGCGCGCCCGTAAGAAAACTACCCACGTAGGAGAAACACATTCACAGTGAACAACTGGCACCGCGAACAAGGCTATACAGCATGTGCCGGTGAATCCACTGTTAGCCAGCTCTTTGTACACCCTTTCCTCCCCATACCGGGGAATGTGCCCAAAAGCGTGCGAGTTGACCACGCAGCATACTGTCACTACTGTCTTACTTGCATGAGCTCATCAGTGGAAAGGGTGCCGTCGCCCTTTGTGTCAAACACCTTGAATGATTTGATAAGGTCGGCCTCCGGGTTGGAACCGCTCAATTTCTTCGTAACCCAGCTCTCAAACTGGTCCCACGACATCGACTGTAACATCGAAACACAGACAAGGCACTTCCTGCATGGCATCTAAAGCGCTGTGCTTCCTCAAGTAGGTGGGCATTTCTACAAAAGTGCAACAATCCTGAGTTCCGCAGCGCTGCAAACAATCGACAGTATTCTGGTGTGAGCTCACAGCGGGAATGCCGTTCGCTTCATCTGCATTCACGACGACACCTATTGAGCGAATCGCGAGCAGGGCCTCGCTGGACGTCAATTCACCATCACCATCTCGGTCAAAAAGAGCAAAAGCTTCTCGAAGGCGAGGGTCGGGTGACATTTCCTCAGATCTGCAAGTAAGCTTAGTATGAATCCAGTTGGGAAATCCTGCAGCAGCGTAGTAACGCACCGACTATCATCATTCGCACCTTCACAGAGTCTATGCTGTCAACAACACACCACAAACACAGTACAGACCGAAATATTACGTGAATTTGCCTCCGGATGTACGAAGCATAATTCTCCGCTCCGCTAACGGCGCGTGCAATGCACACTCGACTTCCGTTCTCGGCGACAAGTCTGAAATTCAGCTAGTCCACACCCTATTGTTCTCAGCCATCCAAATAAATTATATAGAGCACCGAAACCGAGGCACGCAGTCAGCACTGCACGCAACATGGAACACCGACAGCCATGGCCGGTGCAAGCGCCAGGCGGACCATTGCCATCAGTCCGAGTAGGACTCTTTGTTGAGCTTACCTGAAGATAAGTAAGTAAGAACTATAATCCGATTCTTAGAAAAACAGAGGAGAATGCGGGTTCCAGAGTCACAGCAATCGCCAATGAGCGTCAACGAAGAGCGGTGATGATAGAACAGCTTGATGCACCCACAGGTGAGCCGGGTTCACTCTTTCTTGCTGTACTCTGCAACCGAATAGCATCTGTTATGTTTCTTCTTCAATCAGATACATCCTCTTGACTTTTTATTATTTTTTGTACCCAGTTGGGCCTGCAGACTCCCATAACTCAGAGTTTGGCCTTCCGACCATTGGCGTTTCCACTGGCAGCGAGCACTCGATTGCATGCGGTTTTGTTATTGTCCCTACTACCTGTGTGTGACTCGCTGTGGTACACGAATAACAAAAAGAATCGCATAAGTTTTTATACCATTCAAAGAGCCCGGTTTTCGGCAAAAAATTGATGAGCAGCCACTGCTTTTAAGGCGTTAGCTGAACGCTAGTAGCGCCCCTGTGAAGTCTCTAGAGTCACAAGCTGCCGCAAAAAGCAGTCCATGCTTCAGTGATATCCTTCATGAAGTCCAAGCACTGTTGCATCACTCAGCCTAAGGGCATCTGCCCATGACGGCCGCAGAGGCAAATCCAGAAGCGCAAGCACAGCCCTGTGGACACTCCCGGAATCGCTGACACCATGAAAGCACCAACCTGCTGTAGTGATGCCCGCAGTGCATTCTGTCACGTGGCTAAGAGGGCAGTTATTGAGAGTTACGTTTGTGGGCCCACGCCGCCTGCTACTGCCAACTAGTAGCCTAACGACCCGCCCACATCCACAGCTTCCCAGTTAAGTGACTTTTTTGCAACTGGCCCAGAAGCGCCCAAGTGTTCAGGAAAAAGACAAGGCACTGCAGTTTGTGTGATCTCCGTTCCCTCTACAGCGTGCTCACCGTAGCTTCCGGCCCGGCTCAAGTGCCATAGTTCAGGGGGGATGATGGGAACAAGATATTGCTCCAGCTCGTTATATTCTCATCTACGCTCGCGCCGCGCAAATCCTAAGTAATAATTGCACTTACCGCGGCCCCCAAGGCGCCGTTTCACCTGCTTGGCTCTTCCTGAACCACACAGCTTGCTAGCTAGATAGACAGCCCTCAGCTGAGTCCATGGTGCTTTGCCGCCTATGAGCTTTGCAACACTCAAAAAAAAGCTTTTCTGGCTCCGCGTAATCGTGGCAAGTAGGGGATACAAGACATGCCAGCATCGTGTACATGCTGAGCATATTCGCAACTGTCACTGGACTACATTCGATCATAGAGCCTAAGCTTGTCCAATGAGCCCGTGACTGACGCCCCTGCTACAAAGTAGCAGACTGTTCCAACGTCACTACCGTTCTATATACACATATTTGCTTTTTATTCAAGAGGCGCTGGCAGCTCCTCTCCACTGATTTTCAGAGAGGAGGCAGGACTGGTTGGAACTGGTGGTGCCCCCGATTCGGGATCGTCAGTCTGAGATCGCCTTCTTTCCCTTGACCCAGTGCGTATAGTGTGCTGCATTCCTCGCACAATCCCTTTAAGTCGCACCACCAAAGAGTCAACGACCCTGGATACAGGAGACAGTTGCCCAGTGCCGACAGGACCCGCATGCCCACTGTGACCACCAACGGCACCAAAACGCCCCCATCCAGCATTAAATTGCTGCAGAGTGGGGCCTCCCACTGTCGTCCCGAATGGCCCAGGTCGAGACCGAGCAGCGCGGGAACGCGTCATGTAAGAGGGGCCATCTTCTTCCTGTGGGCAAAATCTACGGGATGCTATTTGCACACACGTGAGAAGGGTGTCGAGCTGATGATACTTCAACGTAAGAGGAAGTCCAGATGCGGGGGGGGATGCATCTGCATCGGCTCCCTCTTGATGCGAATGCTGAGGCCGATCTACCAGCAAGCAGCCCGGCACGAATGACCGCTGAGGCGGACCCCACAAAGGTATTTCGTTTGGAACGCTGACAGCCCTGCCCGGCACCACAATGCCCTTGGTTGAAGCCGGCAGAAAGTATCCATCGCTCATATTTTCAACGAACACCTCAGCGCTATCGCTGTCGCCTTCTACCCACTCCTCCCCACGGCAGCCCACCGGGTCCTTCAGCGCAAAACAAATGAATGGCAGAAAACAGCAGCAGCATCATTTTGCTAAATCATATAATCCAGCAGGTCCTCAAAGCAGCAGTTCACACTCAAACGGCAAAGCTGGAAAGAGAGCAAACAATTCAGAGAAAGTCAAAGCGGCGCACCTTGAGAGTCGTCTGGAGCGCTTCCCGGTGAAGCAGATGATCGCTAAAGGCATCAAATGGCAAAAAATTCTGTCCATTGAATCGCTTCATCAGCTCCGTCTCGCACTCCGACGATAAGCCAGAAACAGCCTGCAAAGATATGCATCTCCACATGTCATTCGCAGCGTGCTGCCTCTGCATCATCCTTTTCTGCAGGTAAAACGCTGCAGTTTGAACGTGGGAGTTGACCGGGCTTTAAGGAAAGCACCACATAAGACGTATGTGTGAACACAAAGTGCACAGAAGCGCAACGCTGTCAAACATCTTGAGGAATCCGTGGCCATCGGATATGAAGGAAAATCGCCTTCTCCCACTCTAAAGTACAGCCAGAAGTTGCCATTCTAACATCGTGGTGATGACTGAATACCAAAAGCCCTACTTCCGCTACGAGCTCCTCTCTGCGTATTTGCTTTGAGCCAATGTGTCTGTTCCGCTTCTTGACACGAGTGCCGTCCTCCAACTCTTGCAGTCGCCGCTTTAGCCCAAACTTGAACTTGAAGCGGTAGTAAAAATCCTACGAAGAAGCACAACACACTTACGTCTAGGTCATGAAATAAAAAAAACAGGCACAGGAGCACCGAGCTTTCACATCTGTACACGTAGAGAACTGTGCGAGCATTACATGCAGCCGCACAGTAAATACAGGTACAAAAAACGCCAGCACCGACACGCTTACACGTCCACACAGGCACGTAAACCGCGGCAGGCGTTCCAAAGTTTTACACACCAAGGCTGTGCATTCTGCGCATAATATGTCTCCTCTACGTGGTGCACATACAGACAAGTGGCGCATCCAAGTAAGAGGTTGAAAACCAGTCATCACGCCATCCAAAGGGATCGCTGCTGTTCGTGTTTTCTGCATATACCGGTATAACTACCGAACCACAGCAGATGTACCTATCGAACCACAGCTAATTGCTTGAACAGGGGACGATCTGGAGCTGAACTAATATTTTCTCACCACGCAGTCTCGAGTGGTTTTTCCGTCCAGGCAGGCTGCAATTTTTTCAAAATTCTTCGGGTACATGAGATACTTCTCCACGAAAGTCCTCGCCTCAGCCTCCGCCCAAACTGTGACCGCCTTCCTTTCTGCCTCTTCCTCGACAGGAGTAAACACCTGTAAAAAAACGCATTGACGCCACACAGTCAAGTAGTTATCCTAAGCACACTCATAATATTTCTGCACCATTATCATTCAAGGGTTTAAATGAATCTACATGCGTAGAGGCATGTGCTACGGTCATGCAGGAGCACAAAGGTGGACATAACACACTCGACTGTACGTGCGTACAACTGCGTACCACACGCCAGGAGAAATTACACGAAAGGACGCAAAACTAGCGGGGCACTGGGGCACTTCCTTTCATATTCCGTTATCAAACAACCAAGAAGCTTACTCTTGTGCTGTTGCAGGTGTATCCGCATTCTCTTTCCCAATCGAAGATAGCCCAATCTGGATCAGTCTGCAGCAGATCAATGGGATGAACGCCGCCACCACCTTCCTGTTGCTTTTGAAGTCTTTGCCTGAGACTTTGGCCCTGAGAAAAAAGGCAAGAATCTCTCCAAAACACTCCTGGCCCCGTCAGGTTGGAGAAGTTAGCCTGCATCCACTCCCTCTTGCTCTCGCGGCTCGCTGCTTCCTCCTTCGCCCTTTGACGGTCGTTGCATGCATCCCCGCGTAGGGTTCGCCGCCCTGCAGCGAACCAAACAGAAGGTTAAGGCCTTCATGTAATGCAAGTACCTCCTATGCTCTGAGTGTTGAAGGCGCACATCAGTTCGTCACTATAAACCACCTCTGAGCCTCCACAAAATTCAAGACGACTACGGTTCCTACGACATAAAGCCAAAATAACCAACACTTGCTCGCCAAGCTGTCGAACTCCGTGACATGCAGCTGCAGAGCAAACAGTAAACAAGCCCTACCCGTCACGTCCGTTTGTCTCCGCGACCTGTCGTGGCCACCGTTTGCGTCGTCTTGCATATCTCTGCTGTACTGTTTCTCATATGGCTCTCTGGGATTTCCCTGCCGGAAGCCCGCAGGTAGCGCCATCAAAAGAGACGGATGGTCTACTGCACGCACCGGGAGAACCCCCCACCCAAACACATCGCCCGATAGCAGACGGCGCCTTTCGAGCTGACGACGGTGGCTGCAGTGCAAAAATTGGCAAGCAAATAACGAACAAATATTGCAAACCAACGCGTGACCACACTGACAAGTAAGTCCGCACATGGACGCACATACATAAAAAGCAAATTTAGCTAACCGGAATCAAGACGGAGT